CCCTTGCCTTACCTGCTGCTCTGCTTTCTGCTCTCTGCCTGGTGCTGCTTGACTTTGTTCCCTGCCCTGTGTGCTCTGATCCCTCCAAATCTGCCATTTGCTGCACATGCACAACGACTTGTGGCAGCACATTGCAGGTTAGCCACCCCTACACTCAGTGTATCTACACATGAAATTAGCTTGGCTGAATAAACTCTGGTGCAATTCATGCTGTAGTTTATTGCTCCTAGGCAGAAGTATCTTCACATGCTCCAGGGGCTGCAGCACACTGAGCTGGGGCAGAGCAGCCCTAGGGGGTAGCCTGCCAGCATGGGGCTGCTCCACCCCAGCTCAACATGCTGCAGCAGGGCAGGGTGGGGCATGAGGGTACTTCAGTGTAGGGCTAGCTGGCAGGCCCTGGCCAGCTCCAGAGTTTACATATGTGCTGCAGTGCAGTAATAACTCTGCACAGGTTAGTACTTGTATCAAGCAGTACTAACCTATGCCAGAGTTAATTAGTTTACTCCAGACCTATAGATGGAGACCTATGAGCTAACTAGGCATCTCAGTAGTAGATGCTCCCACTTACTCAGCTGTGAAGGGTTAGCCTCTGCTGGGCCCTGTGCTGGCAGAGGGGGGTAATGGGGCTGACTGTTCCCTTCCATCCTCAGGGCGCAAGCTGAGCTGGCCTGTTCCTAGCCAGCTTTGTTAATAGGATTTTGGTTTCCAGTGTTGTCATTACACTGTTTGTGACCAGTATCAGCCACTACTTCAGCTCCAAGGCTTGCACCTGCTCCCAGGCACGTGGGTAACAGCCTTTTTTAAATGAAGAGTTGTTGGCATATAGGAAGCTCAAAATTACCCTATTTGCTGAAAACCTGTTGTACATGGAAAAAATATGCAAATAAGTGGCCCTCCTCTTTACTTTATATTGCTTGCTGTGAGCTGGCAGAGAGGGAGTGAGAATAGGGTCATTCGAGTTGAAATATGTTTGTGTTTCAAGGCAAGGGGCAATAAGGAAATCCAGGAGTCAGAAAAGGCTCCGAGAGGGACTGGGATTTAGCTGCATCACTTGGATCCCTCAACAATTATCTTCGCTTGACCACTCATTATTATCGGTCCTGTATCTCACAGGGTTTGAGATTACCGTGCAAAGATGATAGTTACCTTACGCTTGGCAACCCTGGGGCTAGCGCCGAGCCTTGGAAACACACCCGACCTGGGAGCCTTAACCCCCTCGCCGCGCGGGCTCCGCCTGCGGTGTCCGGCGCGGGGCCCGCGCCCCTGATCCCGCCAGCGC